TATTAATAGAAAAACTAGTACGTAGCCCGTGCGATGCACGGGAAAATAATATTTTGATTGTATTATTATAAATTAAATAAATAAATAACATTAATCATGATTTACCCATTATTTATAAATTAAACTGGGTTGGACACAATCCGACCGCATGGACCGAGAACCGGTTTATAACCGATTTAGTGCGCTTGAATAAAATATTTACTATCGAATCCGCCAACACCAGTATGTTGCACTGGTAAGATCGATACGATTTTCTAAACAAATTTTGTTACATGAAAAATTATTTTAAATAAAATTACATATTTAAATAAAATAGAGATCTATAAATTGTTTATCAATTAGTTTAAACATTTGAATTTATAAATTGTTTAGATATTTAAGTAACACTTTTTATTTAAATTTATTACAAAAAGAACTATATATATATATATATATATTAAAGTATTATGTATTAAAATCTGAACAACCACAAGACGGTCCGATTCTGAAAACCTTATATTTACCGTACATTAATAAAAATGATAATGAAATAAATATTTTGTTCACATAAATAATAATAATAAAATGATATATAAATATTCATAAATCATTATTCATGTTGTCATAAAAGTATTGTTAATATGATTATTTGAAGTTTGGACTACATCACATTCATGTAATAAAGTATTATCAATATTAAAATTTATATTTAGGTTCAATAATCAATTTGGTCTGGTCAAACTGATACATAACTTAGTTACACCGGACCAACCAAGTTATGTCAAGTTTTTTGACTATTTTAAGTATCACCTAAAAATAATTCAATCAAAGTGGGCAGTACCCTAATTCAATCACCCGATTGATCCAAAGTAATTTTCTTATTTTCTTTAAATATAATATTTAATTTTATGAAATAAAAATATTTTATGATTCATATGTCTACACCAAATTATAGTATATTAAGATTATAAATTATATATCTAAAGATGAACTATTTATTTTTATTTTATGCATATTAATAAAAAATAAACATAGTAATTTAAAAAAAATTAAGATTAATTAATTGAGTATGCAATTTAAAAAATATTTTTAGCGTTCAATATATATATATATATATATATTTACCATGATTGAATTTTTGGATTAGAATATATATATTTAAAATAATTTTATTACTAAAAGTCAAAAAGAAAAGATGCCATAAAGATTACAACTTTGAAAAGTTTGTAACCATTAATTTAGGAACCCTCCGATTTTAAATGATTTATAATTTTTAAAACATGATAGGTGCATTTAAAACCCATTAATTTAGGAACCATCCAATTTTTTGATAATGAATTAAAATTAAAATGTAAAATGTAAAAGTTGCTAAAAATAGTATATAATAAATGTGGTTGACTTTTCCTTACTACTATTTATGGTAAATGTTAATTCTTATTATATATATATATATAGATAAGTAACTGTTCAAGTTACAAGTCTTCTACTCACGTCCAGCAACCCATCTGCTCACGCCCAACTCTCCGAGAGGTTCAACTCTGTCACCAATTATCCTCACGCCGCCCGTCCGCCGTAAACCATTGTCTTCCGCCGTCTTTTCAACTCCCGTATCTCCCAAAATTGATCGAAGACCTAGTCGCACTCGGCCCTCTATCCGCCCCAATCCCTAGCCGTCTGCCGCACTAATTCCGCCCTCGCCGTCCGTCCCAATCCCTAGCCGTCCGGCGCCCTGAAATCATCCCAGTCGCACGCCGCCCGTCAGCCGCGCTTAGCCCTTGGGAACTCAAATACGGTAATTTTGTACTGTACTTTTCAATTTAATCGTGTGTGCTTTCAGATGAATAAACTTTTGTTGTGCCTAGGAATTATGGGACCTGTTAATGATTTGCGTTATTGTATTGGTATGTGATTTTGTGCTAGCTCTGATTACTTTGGAAGGATGAACTTGAGGTTGTTCTTGCTCCTCATAGGTGCAAATTTGTTAGCTTTCAGCTACCTTATTTTTTCTATCTATTTTTCATATAACTTACATGTAATTCACATAATATTTCAAGAAAATCATATGAACTTGTGAATATGTAAATTGAAAACAGAGAAAAAAAAAACTGATCTATAGTTCCAAGTGTGTCATTTTCTGAGATGGGTTTCTTGGGATCGTTCATTTTCTTTATTTATCACAGCACCTCGAGTAAGATGGTACTACCCTCCTAATAATGGTTCAATTTATTAGATAAATTAATCTATTTTTACATAATAGATAATTATAAATTTTTTATACAGTTTCACATGAACTCATTGGGTCGACTTGGATATACTATTTGAACACATACACAATCAATGTAGCATATGCAACTTTGTGCTATACTTATATATAAAAGCTTTATGTTGTTGAATATAAGTCCATCTAATAATATCCTCACCAAAATAAAAATGAAACAAAAGGAAACAATTTATTTAAAATGAAAACGGAAAAAGGTTAGCAGAGCTGCTGCTTTCTCAATAAACTGCGGGCCAATTCTTAAGGAAAAGCGCCTTATTCGCATGTTTAGTGGACCTTAATTTACTAAAAAAAATGGCTACAGAGTAAACTTTATATTTGTATTTATTGATAAGATAAGACATGACACTCACATTTATTTTCACAAGCACATATATATTAATTAACTATATATATATATATATATATCTTATTGAAAAAATTAATTGAAATAGATAGATTGTGGTGGCATACGATATGCCACGCCATTCTCATGTGCTTTTGGCATGCGCAAAAAGAAAGACAGCATGTGATTTCACGCCCAAAAGTTGGATTTTAAGGCTATTTATTATAAAACCTCAATTTAAGTTAAATTAATGATACTCAAAACGAATAATGAACTGCTGCTTAAAAAAAAGGACTAGTTAACTAAGTACATTAAGTAAAAAGTAAAATATAATTAATAACATTATCTCATAGAAGCAATGAAATTATATATGTGGTGGCTCAAGATGTACAATACCATGCTTGCCCCAATTTTTTGGCCTTCCACATAATTAATGTTTACAGATAAGTTATTGTTAGTCAATTTAAATAAAAACATGACAAAACAAGTGAAGTTATTAAACAAAATGAGTGACTCGTAAACTTGGTTTGACTTAATTTGAGTCTTCTGACAAACGAGCTGAGCTCCAAGCTTGAGTTTATTTAAATAATATTCATTCGACTTGTTAAAGTTCGTTATACTCAAAAATTGAGATTTTTTTGTTCTACAGCTCGACTCGTTATGACTCGAGTTCGGCTCGAGCCAACTCGTTAACATTGATAAACAGACCGAGTTCGAGCTTTAATCAAGCACAGTAGTATTCAACTATCGGGAGCTTGAGCTCGGCTTAACTCGCTTCCACTTTGTAAAGTTAATGTTTCACTAATTAAATAGCAACAATTAAGATACTAATATCTTCTACTTTTGTGAGTATCTTAGTGTGGCCCGAAATAGATTTTTTTCTTTTGAAGCAAGTGTGCCACAGCATTATTCAACTTTTATATGGAAGGCATTAATTGAATGAAAAGCTATGAATAGATAGAATATTTAATCATACAATAAAATTGTAAAATTAATCCTACATACACAACTTTAATGGGTATAGAGCTAAAATACATCTTTTCGAGTGGCAATCATTGTTTATTTTTGTTGGTTCATAGTAATTAGTAAGACTTTATTAATTTAATTTATCTTATATTGGTGATGTCACTCTGTACAGAAGCTCGGTCCCTGATTGGTCCAAACAGTTGACTTACTATTCTAATAACTAAACTAACTATAGATTATGAAATTAATGAACTCTAAATTCAAATCAATCAATGATTCAATCAGTGGAATCCAATAATATGAACAAAAGAAAAGAATGACTCTAAGCATGAGGATACATCTGTTGTAGATAAATAAATTTTGGAGGGGTTTTGGATTATTTGTCAATTAATTTTATGGGTAAAATACGTGGCGCCTCACTGTGTTTAACGAAATGTGTGTATTTTCATACTTCTTCTAGTTTGGTTTAAATGATGAAGTATTCTTGCATTTCATGTTGCCGGAGTGTGGTAGTGTTCTGGGCAAATTATGTCTCTTAATAAAGAGATCAAAATGATCAACAATGTAGATGGAGGAAAACATAGAATTTCTGGTATGAAGATCTGTTTGAAGAAAATAATGATTTATAATAATATGATTTATGATATAAATGGTTGTTTATAAGATGCAACTGTAAACACTCTCGTTATATTATAAAACAAGCTCTAAATGGTAGAGACTTGTGTTGATTACATGTTGTAAGTCTAGGGAGAATGTGGGAATAGAGAATGTGTTATCTTGATATGATTCTAGTTATAATTGAAGCTCATATTTATAGAAAAATTTTTGATAGTACAATCATAAATATACAATTATAATAAAGGCAAAATAACCCTACATGATAGATGTGGTAAGTATGGTAGATGGATGACATTTCATAACCACTCCAAGATATAATACGACAAATTATTGTGTTAGGAGCCTAATTATTAGGCGAATCAATTCGCCATACTCTTTAAACAAAAATCCATGCTTACACTATCAAATATTGTACTTCTCTTTATTGTTTATTAAAGATGAATTATATAATAAAAATATGAATATTTGTTAAAAATATGTCGACCTAATGATTAGACATGCCTAATGCAAACATACCAATAATATCCATGCTTCTAAAAATTTCATGATAGGCAAACTGGACTAGAACAGCAAAAGATACAGAAAAATTGACAAAATTCAATGCCTAGACAATGGCCAAGTAAACCCCATAAGCACCAGATCTATTCCTACAGCCCCTTTATTTTTTTTTAAAAAAAAAAAAAAAATACTCACACGAGTCGTGNAAAAGGAAAATGAGAATAATTTCAATGCTAGCATGATGTTACTCTTACACAGTAATGCTAAGGAGTCAACTGTTAGCTCCGTTACGGAGCCAACATCTAATGGGACAGCTCCATGTGGGGCTGTCCCACATTGGAGCCATGTGGGACAACCCCACATGGAGCTGTCCATTGGGTGTTGGCTCCATAATGAAGTCAACAGTTGGCTCCTTAGCATTATTGTATTCTTACATTAGTTTCATACAAAATTCCATACATAAACAAATACAAACAAGAGAGATAAGAATCTAAGTTGTTACATCCTCACTTCATGTGCGTTCCTACTTAGGAAAAACATAGTATTGCCATCACAAAGCACGAGCTACGAATTGTTTTTCAAAATCAAAATTCTAACTCTGAGTCGTCTGTATCTAAATGTGACATGAGAGGGTTTAATCTGTTGGTATTTGCCTCCAATGGCGGAAGCCCATCATCACTCGAACCTTCTTCTTCTTCATCTTGTTGGGAACGTGAATCTTGCTTCGCTTTTTCATGAGATGTTGATCTGAAAACCTCCGGCCTGCATATGTGGGGCCCGCCTTAGAAAACAGGTTAGTTATTTAGAAAAAAAAAAAAGACCCCGAATGATAACTACAGAGAGCTGGATTACTAAAATAATGGGTTAATTACAAAAAAATTAAAGTGAACAGATACCCAGTTTCAGTTTAGTGTTGGTACAGAAGAATCCCAGACCATCTCAAAAATTACAAATACCCCCTCAGCATTTGTTTCTTTTGGACATATAATTGGAGTCATGCAACTAGACTATACTTTAAGGGTCGTATTTGCAATTGAACGAAATACAGTAATTATGAAGTCACATTACATACCTACCACGAGTAATGACCTAGTCTAGTTAGACAAACATTAAAAGATAAATAAAAAGAAAAAAATGCACCATTCTGAAGATTTTTGAAGTTGACGAACTTGATCATGGTAGAGTACTTGTGTCACCATGCCTGCCACCTTTCTACCAGATTCGACTGCTTCCTCTCTCCCACTTTCATCAACAACAACAAAGTTTCCTATTTATAGGAAATTGCAAAAAAGTTCCATTACCAAAAAACAGAAAGAAGACTCGACAGATGTTGGAATAGTATAACCAATTCAAAATAGAGTTAGAATAGAGCTGGAATAATACTTGGGGCATATCAAAAATATATTTTGCAATCACGATGGAGGTTTTATATATCTAGAGACGTAAAATATGCATGACTATTGATCATACCTCGTCTAATCCACATGCTTTTCTGAAATTTTGCTGGGAATATTGCGATCAATTTCATTCCTTTCGAGTCCATTACCTTTTCTCAAACAGAAGGACGAGCGAGCAGTGAAATATCTTTTCCAACATGAATACTAAAAATGGAGCCCAATAAAATTTTATACCTCGATGAGATTAGAGCCCCTCAAATCGACAACCTGCATTATGCTTTGGCCTTCTTTAAGAGTTTCCATCTCATCCTCAATTGCCCTCTTGAGATTTTTCCTTCCTCCAGTCATGTTCACTTGCAATTGCTTCAAATTTCACTCTCTTCTCATGCAAAAAACAGTAGCATAATTAAGTGATTGTAGAATCAAATTTGAAAAGATTATGCAAAAAAATGTTAAGAAACCCAAAAAAACCAATTAATCACCCTTCAGCACCTTTCAGTTTAGCACATGATCTTAAAAAAAATCATCTAAGATGATATCCAACCATCATCACACGTTAGGACCAACTACATGAGCTAGGTAGGGTTTCAACTGCACCTTAATTCATCTTCCCAATATAATGAATGACATTTATTTATCAAACAAAATATTAGAGATCACTAAAAAAATCATGTACGATGAATAAACCTCCAACTTATATCGACAAATTTACAACAAATATTAAATGATACTACTCAAATAAAATAAAAAGAAAACAACACAACAGGACAACACGGTATGCAGAGAAAGGATTAGTTCTAATCGTCTAGTCCAATTTCCTTCTAATATATATGAAATCATGAGACATTCCAGGTTAGATTAATATATACAAATCAGTGGAAGTCATTTTTTCTTAAGTTATTAATGCAATGTAGGAAAATTCTACATTCCCACAGTTAGGGATGTAAATGGGTCGTGCCGGGTGTTCGTTTTGGCATACCCGTACCAGACCCTCCTTACAAAAGGCATAGAGTTCCATACAAAAGGCATAAAGATATAACAAAAGCATAGAGTTCCATACAAAAGGCATCAAACATAAATGTCTCCATACACCCAAATCAGAGATCTTAAAATTAGGAATTTAGAACTACTCATATTCCATGGGCACACACAGGAGGATTAGCTCAAAACATGCAACAACAAGAGCCAATTAAAAAAAAAAAAAAGAAATCAATCAAACACTCAACAACCAGATCAATAAGCATATGAATGGTATACAAAACAACATAGTTTAAAACTTACAAAGCATGAATCCCACATAGTGAAACATCAAAAAATAAAGGCCTTCATACATCCAAATCAGTGATCTTCAAATCAACAACTAACAATTACCCATACTCAGACGGATCAGAGATTGATAGATCAACATATACAACACCAGGACAAAATTAAAAATAACAACACTTAACAAACAGATGAACAAGCTATCAAAATCAGGATCCAAATAGATTCATATCATGTCTTCATGTCAGATTAACATATAGCTAATAATTTTCTTAAAAACACCTTAATCCAAACATATATATACCAGAAATGCAAAGATCAACGGACGTTAGGGATGTAAATGGGTCGGGCCGGGTGCGGGTTTTGGCATGCCCGTACCAATTTCGGCCCTTCCACAGAACACACAATTTTCACTCTTTTTTCGGCCCCATTTCACTACCTCTGCGCCCTTACCACCAATACCTCCATTTCTAGGCCCTTCAACAGGTATGTCGAATAAATCAAACAAAATTACAAGAAGAAAATGGCTTACAGTGTATTCCGTGGCCGTGGCGTTCTGGAGTAATTGTTGTCGTGATCGTCCGGAGCGGCCAAATCAGCGGCGGCTGTGACTGAGAGCAGCAGGCAGCGGTGGCCGGTGGGGAGATGCCGGAGATGAGATGGGAATACGAGTACGCGACGGGGGAAGCGAGGGTTTGTGAATCTCAAACCCAATAAATCTCAATGAATCTGAACCGTTCCGTTAGATAATGAAAAT